GCCCAGGTTGGAAAACGAGCCGTAATTTATATAATACAGGCGAATCCAGGAGTACCTGAAGTTCACAGGCCCTGCGGAATGTTGTATCAGCAACAGATTGCCATGCAGTGAACCCCGGGCCAAGGGTCGCATCCGCAGTAAAAGCGGAGAAGACGGAGCCTGGCCGTGCGTCACAGGAGCTGGCCCTGCGCCTGGCTACGGGGGCTGCCGGGCTGGGTTGCAGCAGCGATTTGGCAATCTCGGCACTGGGGAAAGCCGCGACCGATCGGTTCATACCTGAAGTTATCACTGCTAATGGCATTGTTCTGCTCTGTCTAGTTTCATCGCCGAACAAATATTTTGAAAATGATCAAATTAGCTTGCACAGAAAATGATCAAGAGCACGATCTAAAACTTGTAACTCTTAAATGAAAGTAGACATGTAATAGCTGCTTAGCCACTGCACTTCAAAGCTGAAAACCACTTCTCCGTACTAACATTTGATGTTCTTTAAAAGGGTGAATTATCTAAATATTTTGTGCTTTATTTAACAGAAATTTTCAGCAAACCTCATTCCGTCACTTTGAGTTATGTCACTTCATGCCATGTGACATGAATGCATGGATGTGAGTTTGACAGGCAGCGCCAATGCTGACATGTCAGTCTGAGAAGTTACGACAAATGATATGTTACAGATATTTTTAAAACTACTGCAGATTGCCAAGAAAAAAAAGTCTTTAAGATGTGTAATTACACTGGGTGCATCTTTAGATTGAAAACAATTTCTTCAATTCACATAGTTATATTGAGTCAATGTTCAGGCTGACACTTAATTAAAAAAAAAAAGGAAATTTATATTGAAATTTCCCAACTAGCTCTAGTTACAATATATTATATAGCAAAGGAAAATGAGATGTCTTAATGTAATGATGTTTGGTTTGGTTTTTTTGAAACACTCTGTCATTAAGTAATACTGTTGGCATTTAATAATTTGAAATAATCAATCTATCTCAAATAAAGCTCAAAACCGTACGCAGGAGAGAAAGGCCCCAATAGAGAATGAATTACTTATGTAAATTCTCTTCCAGCAAAGAATACAGCATGGCAAGGGGGGGATCTTTCACTAGAAGTGCTAATTGATCTAAATCATACTTTTTTCTTTTTCTGGGTTTTGGGGTGGGTTTTTTTGGTAATCTCATTTTTTTTACAGGTCAGGTCCTGCCTTATAATTTCTTTGTAATCTCTGTACGTCAGTTGAAGCATACTCAGATCAGTCATGTGTGAACTTTCAAGCATCTATTTTACCTTCAAATTTCTTACTCCCGTAATGGAAGAAAAAGGGTCTGAATGCCTAAGAACTAATCAAATTAGTGAAACATAATTATTTTTTCAAGGCAGAAAATGAGCTTATTAGAAGGGGGGGGGGGGGGAGAAAGAAAAAAAAAAAGAGTAAACTCCATGTGCTAATCAGACAAAATTGTTCCATACATTAAAAATACATTAGCGTTTTAGAACGCTAGAAAACTGTCTCACTTAGTATTGACCTAAATGTACCGGAGTTCAATTAGTTCAATTCTTCTTCAATAGCTAACCATCCCAAAAATCAAATCCCCAAAACAAGCTGATGAGTGAAATGAGTAGATCTTTTGCAGTTGGAGATGACTGTATCCATAGAATCATAGCTAGCTGAACTTCCACGCTGTAACTTTTTCACTATAAAAACTTTCTTCTTTCTGGATATGTGAAAGGAGTTTGATTCTGGCCCAGTTTTCACTAGAGAGATGGAAGGGTGTCACAGACACAGCATCAGTTAGTACCGATAGCAGTATTTTCAGTAGAAGAGCCCCCGTGAATGTCCTGTTTTCGAGCGCTGCACGTTTTCCTGGTAATGCCACGTTACGTGCAACTAGAGCACTCCATGGCAGTTCACACTGTCTCCACCTAATACGTTACTAGCCAGGGAATGTTTGGTTTAGATTATTGCACCAAGTACTACCTACAAAGTAATCACAAAGGCATAGTCCACTGATTAAAAGGATGCCCTCTGTTGGGTGTTCCGCAATTAATCATGCATTAATTTCAACTGAAACAGCAGCTATTTTAAGATCATCTGTAATTGCACACAGATGTTTGGCTTAGAGCTGCCCACCATCCCAACAATCAGGAGAATGTCCAAATTCTTGGAATCTCAAAAAGTCCCTACTGCACAGAAAGCTGATTTTGCCGCTATTCAGTGCGACCATGTATCAGTTTGTTGCTTTTTACATCCATCCTTAGTAGCTTTAAAAGGGCCAGGAAAGAAGCAAAGCTGTGGAGAGCCAAACCCATCTGGACAAAAGGTTACACCTGGAAGGAACGTCCTGCCAAATGTGAGGACAAAGCTAAGTTCATGCTTTCCATAGTTTTTTAGCATTTGCATTCAGGCTACTTTTATACAAACTAAAATACAACAATTCTTCACCGAGTCAGAGAATCATGGCCTTTCCCCAGGTGCTTTGGGAGCAAGGAGATGATAGAACAAAGCCTTCAGCTTCGCTTAGGGGAGTTAGCACTTCTGCTGAGAAGGATCTCCAGCTTCCCGGGAGTTTCATGTCAAGGTACATCTCAGTAGAGGAGAGCCTGACTGTCCTGGACTGACCCACAGCCCTGATGGCTAAATCCCGTGTAAACACATGGAAGGAGAGCTATATTCTGAGACACCCGAGCCCAGTGCCGTGGGCAGAATGGCAGGCAAGGGAGAACACGGAGCGGGAAGAGATGGTCTTCTCTCTAGTGAGGTTACGTCCTGTGGGTTAGTGCATAATGGAGCTGGTCTGAAAGTCAGATTTCCGCCTCCTGTCTGTGTCAAAGACAGCTTCTGGCAAAAAAAGTCAGCAACACAGCTTTACCAAAGTCATGTTTACAGACTATTAAATGTTTAGAAGATGCTAGGTGGAAGGCCAGAGTTGTGAAGCAAATGGACGTATGCCATGCAACTGTTAGAGGCACACAGGGCTTGGAGGTCATTCTTCTGGCATTCATGTTTTTCTGCTCAAAAGCTTTCATGCCGCAGATGAACTCCGAATTCTTAGTCAGTGCATTTGAGGTAGAGGCCAATGAAAGTTTTACAGCTGAAAAGAGCCAGAATTAAACATGAGTGTCACATTTCTGACAGAACTTGATTGGCAACAAAAGGGCTGGGCTTACATTTAAGAAAACCTGCTAGTAAAGCCTCAGCTTGAGCCTCCACCCAGAAACCTGAGAAAAGTAAACTAAATTAAACTACTTCACCTACTCCGTCAGTTAGTTTTCTTCATTCATGAGCACAAATCAATCGGCTTAAAAAGTACTAGTTTACTGAAGGAAAAAAGAAGAACAAAGGAGAAAAACAAGGTAACATATTAAGGACGTATATGTAGCGCTTGAAGTATAACTAACCATTTTGGCGGTTCTCTCCTCTGCTGGCTCTGGCCAGCTGGTTGCCTCGCTCACGGCAGAGCCTGGCTGCGTGTCCCAGTGCCCCCTCTACAGAAGCACTGCAGCTCTGTTCCTTGCAGTTTCTTTTATTTCACCTTTTAGGCTGGAACATAGATGGCAGTGGGAACTAACAGTCTCTTTGTATACAGGAGGCTCTTTAACAGTTTCTTCTCTAAATCCACAGAATTTTAACAATTTCTGTTTCGTGAAAGACTCTAAACAAAGTCACTTTTTTTTTTCCCTTGCATATAACTTTTGCCCTCTGATGCTGAAACTATTGCCTTGTATTAGGGTGGTCTCTCACCCTGACTACTCCTAAGCATAGTTAATTAGTCCAGACTTTAATACCTGGTTTCAAACAGCTCTCCATGATATATCTCTTGATAAAATGAAATAAAGCAAACCCTCTCTCCGTCACAGTAAATCAGTGCATGTGGAATAAAGGTGGTTCAGACCTGACCAAGGGTTCTTTCCATTCATCACCCTTTTTCTACAGGGGATAATATCAGCAGCAAGCTTCTCCTCTTGGGTCACCTTCTCTTCTGGACTCCTTTGGTAGAGGAACTATGCTCTGCATGTCAGCTGCCAGGCTTACAAAGAGCATCAGCATTTCATGTGTTTTGCCCTGTAGCTCCACGACTGACAGCTTTGCAGCCCCCTGCCAGGAGTTGCACATCCCACAGACCAGAAGCACAGGCACTGCTGTACTTGAAAGGACCCACTAATACTACAATTTGACATGACGGGTCTCCAACAAGTGGCTCACCTATATAAATTAACTCAGTGGCTTACAAGTTTCACCTGACAGCCATTATACTCACATTCTCTGTTCTTTTTTCAACAGAGGGAGGTATCATACAATATGTGGCAGGTGTCTTGTATTAACACATTGGTGAAAGCAGTGACGGCAATAGAAAAGATTAAACGTATAACATACAGTTAGGCTCAGATAATTTTACTTGGTGAAAAAACAGCTTCAAGAAATAAATTTCTCTAGATCATTGGTGATAGGCAAGACATAATCATCCATTTGATGTTTAACCCCCTGGTGACCATGCCGGTAGGACCTGCTGGTGCATTTCTGGCCCTTTCGCAGCTATGTTTTTAAGCACCTCAAAGTAACTGGGAGACAGTTGTTACTGGGAGATAGTTGCCATTCCCCTTGCACTGGACAGGTTTCTATTTTTCCCTTATCAGGCCTTTAAGCGCCTGTGATGAATGGCCAAATCTTGCTGACTGCTGGTGCTGCATCGAGGACACTGCTGAGGGCAGCCACGGCCGTGTCTTGGTGGGCGTCCTGCGGGCGGGGGGCTGCTGCCACATGCGGCTGACGTCCCCGGCGCCGAGGCTGCTGTGCGGCAGAGCAGTGCGGCTCTGGGGACAAGCCCTGGGGAGCGCTGTCAGGGCAACACGCAGGCGAGTGGCCAGCCCTGGGGAGGGGTTCGGGGACATGCCGCAGCGCGGGGGCAGCGTGGCTTGGCGGCGGGAGCTGCTGCCCGGCACCTGCCCCAGCCCATCTCCCGGCCTTCCCCGTGACCGCCCCGGGGGCTGGCAGCACCCCAGCGCGCAGCGCCGTGTCTCTGGCCGGTGGGAGCGGGGTCTCTCCCTGGCTCTCGGCATGTCTGGGGCAGAGGCGCTGGGCCCCCGGGGACCCGAAGGCACTGGGGCATGCACGGGGGACGTCCCCTCCCTTAAAGAAATCGAGCAGCTCCTGAACACCGGGCGGCCCTCTTGCAACCACGTTGATGAAGTATGGCCTAATCTCTTCTTAGGAGACCTGTAAGTACAGATTTATGGACACACCTCCACCATACCTTCTGTCTGTTAGTATGCCTCATAGGTGTGGCTTTAGACAGCTCATAGTTTTGCTAATTGATGTCATTTACATTGCAGATAGCACGGTTTCCGAGATAAAATTATGACTAAGCCGATGCTCGCTTCTCGGTTAGCCTTTAGAAGCAATGCACAAGCTGACGCTCCGGCAAATGGCTTGGGAGATGCAATCGCAGAGCTTCTCCTGCTCCGTGAATATCTCTGCACCCCTCTCAATTTGTTTGTCCTTGTCTTTTCCTTAGAGTAACAGCTCACAACAGATTTGTTTTGTGGAAGATGGGTGTGACCCATGTTTTAAACGCTGCCCACGGCACAGCATATAGCCACGGAGGCCAGGACTTTTACGGAGCAACCATTGATTACTATGGTGTACCAGCCCATGACCTCCCAAGCTTTGATATAAGCCAGTTCTTTTTCTCTGCGGCACAATTTATCCACAACGCCTTGAACACGCCAGGAGGTATGAAATTATCGTTGGTCACATTTTTACGTGTGTTGGCAGCCTCTCGTAACAGGTCAGCTCCACAAGCTCAGTGGTGGACAAGTCAATCCACGGTCTCCTGCCCGCTGCTGGTCACCTGCACGGTGGGTGGCGGGAGGAGGGAGCACTGGGTACATGTGTGTAGCTCTAACTAGGTCCCAAAAAGTTGATGTGAGAAAAAGGATGAACAGTGCAGGAGAGAGACCGGGGCAGAGAGGAGAGGAGGCAAAGTAGAGAGAAAAATGTCTGGAAGGAAAGGCTGGTTCAAAAAGGGAGAAGCAAAAACATACATTTAAAGTGGACACCCTCTTTTGAGACCCTCTTATGGCAACTGTATTTGTAAGAACAGATGACTAAAAAGACAAAAGTTCTGATTTCTACAGCCACCAACCGCACGAAGAGGCTCATATATTGCAGAGGAGCTTCTTGTGTGAACAGGGCCTGCAGGGCTGTGCCCCCAAGGAGAAGATTTACCTTTACCCAAGGAGGTTTATAGCGTGTTGCACAAGAGACTGAGCTTCTTGGCACGGGTGCAATAAAATACTGATTAACCTGTATTACATAAAAGACCATTTCTTAGCATGAGTAAACTGGCATTAATGGAGCTGTCTCAGTCTGTATCGCAAGTTCTGCCTTCAAAGGAGAATTACAGTCGCAGCAAATTGCCTTATTATGCAATGGTACTAGGCCAGTCATTTTTCTTGGTGGCTAATGTGTTAGTGCCATCCTTTCAGGCCAGATTTTAGCATTCTTCTTCAACTAAGTAAGCCCCTCTGAAACCAATGGGTCTGATTTTCCTCTTGCTCACAACAGAACAACTTCATTACTTCAACATGGTTTTCTTGGATTTACCAGTGTTTCTGAGATCAGGTTGGAATCTCATGGCACTTCTCATACAAGTGAGTGTAACAATTGCAAATTAGACTTAATTGTTAGCAGTTCATGTGATCTATCAGAAAGGTAAGAAATACATCATGTTTGCGGTGTTACTCTGACCAAGCTGGAGAAGGCAGAAGGGGTTTGCCTTCCCTTTGAATTAAACTTCATCCACTGTACTGCTTCTCTTCTATGGTTATAATTTTTTATTTTTTTTTTAACCAGCTAAAATTTTGGTACATTGTGCAGTTGGAGTAAGCAGGTCAGCTTCCCTAGTCCTAGCATATCTCATGATAAATCACCACCTCCCATTGGTTGAAGCCATCAAAACAGTGAAGGAACATCGATGGATTTCACCCAATCGCGGCTTTCTGAAACACCTGCAAAATTTGGATGTTCAGCTACGGCAAAAGAAGGACTGCTGAAAGGGCAAACCCATTTACGTTCACTTCTCTGAGTTTCAGCCTTCATAGCCACTGTGCATATACACCTTCCTATGATCAATGCATGTTGAACAAATGAAGAAAATTATGCATCAAAGAAAAAAGTCAACAGGACTGTAAATGGATTAGTTCTGATAGCTCTGTTCCTCCAAGACCAGCACAGCCAACATCAGCACCCTAAGAACTGCGTGCTGCAGAGCTGCTGTGCCTAGCGTGCTGCTACCAGATGACTCCACTGGAGTGGTTAAGGTGGACCGAGTTTGCTCCTGGTTTGTGCTAATGCCGGAGGCAAGTTCAGTAATTGCATCTAGCTGTACAGTATGCTTGAGTCCCCTTTACTTGGGAGTGTAACATAACCAGCTTCCTCGGTTTGGTTGCAGTTCTCGTGTGCGTGTTCTCATAAGAAAAGCTTTTTGTGTTTCAGGCCTGGTGATGTGGCGAGGGCAATTTCTTAGGAGACCAGGCTCTGCTGCAGAAACATTCATCTTTCCCTGGTCTGCTGAATATTGCGGTGTTACAGAAAGCTGTGACAGCCTGAAGACCCACACCAGCAGAATAAACTTCTGTGCAGCTCCCTCTGCAGTCTCGGGGTCAGCAAACCCACAAACCTTTCCTTGTGTAAATATGTTTTCAGCAAGATAATGTATATTATGTCGTATATTGAGGACATTAAAAAAAACGATGTCAGGTCTTCAAAGCATTTTTTAAGCTTGAACTCCTCAGTTCACTCTCCCTCCAAATTATCCCAAATCAGTTCTGTGTAAGTGGCTTTGAATCATCCCTGGTTTAACATCAGGTAGGAACTTACTTAGCTTACATCAATGGCTAGGCTTAATTGATACAAATTAGTTTTAAGCTGTTTTGAGGATGTCACTTTTCCTATCGCCTGTTAATTGGTACTTAAACCAATGTGATTTTTAATACAGCAACAGCATTTGAAATTCATGCTACCACTCTGCCTGAAAATTAGCTTGTTACCTTGTGGTGAACCATGAAGCGATAATCAAATCTGTTTTTGCCCTGTGCTACCGGTTTGATTTATTGATTAGCTGACCTTATAAACATTCCCTGCCAGATGAATTAAATACACTTCTGCTTGTTTGTTTGCATCTGAAGCATCAGTTCTGATCATTTTCTTCTCTGGTGGAAGAGATTTGCGAGGTTATTAGAAGACTTAAATAGTAGCGACTTGTGAGTTGAACCTCTTCCTTCCCAGACTCCCTATCCTCCATAATTCTTGGAGAGGTTATGACATGAATGCTGATTCTGCCTAGCACTTACGGGCATGTAGAAATGCCTCCCTATTTCAGTGTACACAAATGCTTTGCAAAATAAGCATATTTAAGATCTTTTCAGAGGTCTATGCGACTGTCTGTTCAGATTTTCCTAAATCTTGCCAAAGAGCTCCACTGACGAGAGGAAAGAGAAGACATTGTAGTGTAAAAAGATCAAATAGAAAAATCACATTTAAAACCCAACAGTGCTAGGACAATCTTTATACCTCACAAAGCAGCAGAGTGGTGGAGGAGGAGCTGGGTTTGCTTTGAAGTTCTCCGTTAGAGTTAATAGGGATCTATATGAGTTAATATTTCATTATAATTTATACTTCATTCACATTACAGTAGATTTTAGTCTGGAAACCTTTTGAAGACATGGCCTTGAAAAATCTGAAATTCATGTGAGTGAAATAATGCGTCTTAATGGCTTTAGGCTGGGCAAAATTAGACACATGTGAGCAAGATAAATGGAACCTCCCATCAGAATAATGCTTTGCATGCCCCTGAACATCTGTCCCACAAAGCCACAGCTGTGAAAGCTGCTCCTGTTGTAAATTAGTACCTGCGCTGGGAGATACCGCTCATCCTGGGAGAGTACTGTTTCATCAGGGTAGGGAAGAGAGGAGTACAGAGCGAAGCTGAGTCAGTATGGCATCCATGCCACCAATGACACGGTAGTGATCTTGTACAGCAAGACTGACTCACCCCAGTGGAGGGAACGAATTAGTTAGAAACTCTTTTCAAGGGCACTGCCAAATCACAGAAGTGTTTTTAACCTGCGGAGTCGTGTTGCCTGTATTTCCTGCCTGCCTGTATTGCTCCCTTCCTTAGATACAGCTTAACTTTGGCTCCAGGTCTGCTCAGGGAAAAAGATTCCAGTCAGCATGAGCACAAGTGGTAGAATTAGTCCTACGACTTCATAAAACAGAAAATCCTGTCTGCTGTGATGTGCTAGGAGGAAAAGAGACCTTCTCACCTGTCACTTACACTATCCATAGTTCAGGTCATGATGTGACGTGGCGTTAGTGCTTCACTGTTTTCCACTATCTGCAGAAAAACTTGTATTTCAAATACCGGTTTGGCAAGTTAGACTAAGGAACCAAAACAAAAGAAATATACTGCCTCACCAGGGGCACTTTGTTCAGAAAATGCACATCTGTCAACAGGGTCTACACAACCCAGGGGACTAAAGGCACTGAATCTTAACTCCTAACTGAGGGAGGGTCCCATTTTGAAAGATATTTAAATACCTAAAGGTAAGCTGGGTACCTGCTGAGCTGGCCGGAGCACCTAGGCTCGTGCAGCGGTGCCTGCGTACCCTCCCAGGAGCCCGCAGGAATTGCCAGCCTGATGAGGAGCCGATTACCTTCCATCTCCTCTGAAACAGGCTCACAGGCCTTCCTGCCCCAGGCCTGCCTTATCATGGGGTCTCTCCTCAATCTGTTCTTAATTCCTTTATCCCTTTTCAACTTTTTTTTAGTGTTTAGCTGGAGAATGCATCTGACAAAGCCCACAGCAGAATGCATACGGTTCAGGAACAAGCTCCTCCCGTGGGAAAAGACTATGCCTGAAAGAAGAGTTAGACCTCCTCTGAAGAGGTTCTGAAAACCAAGCTTTCGTTCTTTTGAGCCACCTTACCAAGTGGGTCATGAGGGCTAGTGCCAGCTCAGCGGAGGCTGCGAGTGTGTGTCTGTGAGCAGAGAGCACAGTGAAAGGGACTGTCCCAGCTACAGCTATGGCAGACTTAAATCTGCTTAAAGCAATCACAAAACCACAGTGTCACCTGAAGGGAGCCATGTAAAATTCCCATGGAAACTTCCCTTAATTTTATTTTCCAGCACAAGAACTGAGGGCATCAGATGAAGTCAGTAGAAGCCAGGTCTGAAACAAGAGGAGGGGGTTTAGGTGAGCTGTGTAACGCCTTGCCACACGATGCTGCAGAGGGTGAAAGCCCGTAAACGTTCAGGGGGTAACTGGAAAACTTTATGGAAAAGAAATCCATTCAGGGTTACAAATACTTAGAAACTCCATCCAGATCTGGAAGCTTGTGAGCTGCAGCCAGCTGGAAGCTGGGAGAGTGTTAGAAAGCAGTGTAATTCTTGCTTGTGTGTTCTTACTTTCCGTAGGCATCCACTTACAGCCACGGTCAGATGCAGGACAATGGGCTCGATGGACCTTTGGTGAGGCCCAGGACAGCTGCGCTCATGGTCTATTTTGAACTCACCCCTAATGTGAGCTGTCCCCTCTTTCCTGGTAGCTTATTATTAGATCTGGGTCACATGAGGCATTTGGGACTGTGTCTCGGTTGCGTTGAGCAACATTTCTTTCACGGGGAAAGCTCTGTGCTGGCAGGCACAGCTATAGAGCTTAGGTGGGGAGGGGAGTACCCTTTTTTTTTGCATGAGATTCGCTTAATGCAGACTTCTCATTTTTGTGGCCGTTCCCCGCTCCGTCAGGGATGTAGCGCTGAGCTAATCCAGGGAGGCGTCAAGGCGCGTGCCGTATTTAGAGACAGCCACCTGCTTGGGAACATCAAGCGGCAGCAAGGAGCACGCTTCAGCAAAAAAAAACCCCTTCCCCTGGGGATTCTGCAGCAGCGGCATCCAGCCGGCTCTCCCCTGCCTAAATCTACGTGTGGCCACCAAAGGGGTCAGCGCCTGAAGACGGTCAGACCCCGACAGCCCCGGAATGCCCTGAGCCTGGCGCTCCCTCTGCCCAGGAGCTGCCAGAGAGCTTGGACAGCTGCAAGGTGGAATTAAACCACGTGGGTGAAGAGTGGCCTAATCTCTACATAGGCAATATGTAAGTGTTATTTGAGGCTGAGCCGTTCTGAAGGGCTGGGGAATACAGTACTTGTAACATATGCTGTCCAACTACTTTATTTAGTTAGCGTTGTTAAATTTCGTTGCCTTAAAATAGACTTAAGATTAGCGCAGAAGAAAGCAAAAGGACTGTCCATTAAAGAAAGAACCTACAGAACAGAGTAAAATTAATTAGAGACTAAGACTCTCTTTATTGCTTTGTATTATCTTATAATTATTTAACATAGATTTTATAAATGTTGCAACATTTACCATAAAAAGCACAAGACTCGTGATCCTGGGTAGCCTTAAAATTGAACTACGATTGGTTTTTACATTTTTCAGTTTAATTTTAACTATAATGGAAATGTTCACGTAAAAAAAAAAGTATTCTAATTTTTGCTGTTTGTACGACAACTTGATTTGCAGTTGAAATTTCTGACCAAAAAAAAATTTGGATATTCTGAATGACAGCAGACTTCACTGTTTGTTTCTCAAACTTGCGCTTGACGGTTGTTTCACTCTGGGGCGTGGAGAAAGCACGCAGTCATCCGCATTCGACATGCCTAGTGCCCAACGTTATGCCAAAGCAAGTTCTTTCCACCACCAGCAGGTTGCAAACTTGTTGAAATATCTGGAAAGTACAATTACAGTAGTTCCTAAATGAGAGAAGCGGGACTAACGGTCCTTTGGCAACTTGCCCGTTGATTACCGCTAAAAGCGGACATTCTTTTAGCTACGAAAAAGGAAAGCCTAAAAATGAGCTAGATGACGCCAGGGAAATAAAACCAGATTTTGTAAAGCCGGATTACGAATTGCAGCCTGCTTCCTAATCTCACCGCATTTCTCATCAATCGGGAGCGTGACACCCTGCAGACGAGGCCTGGGCACAGCGGGTGGCTGCCCACTGGTAGGCACCGCTAGGCAGCCAGAAAGACGGCACGGCTGTGCTGGCCTGGCCCTGGCTGGGGAGAAGACAGAAGCCAGCGCAACATGCAATGCTTCACTGAACTGCTTTGGCGACAGGAGTAGGAAACCAGCCTTTGCCTTTCCAGTTAAACCTCGTAACTATACTTGGGAATTAACTTTTTTGCTTTATTAGAACCATTTGGAGAAATAAGGACTTGCAGAACTGAGCCCAACAGGTAGTAAAAGCAAAGATTTGAGACTCTATAAATATCACTGGAATTGTATGGTCTTAACACCATCGTTTGCTTTTAGACATTCTTCTAAGTGCAGTTTTAAGACCTCCTTTTAAAACCTGTGGGAATACGTGCTCCAAATTATTCTTGCATGTTTATTTTCAATTGCATTCTGTCTCTTGAAAAAAAAAAAATGGTGGGGAAAAACATGTATAGATAACAACAGTGTGTACATGTAGTAAGGAAAAGATGAATTTGGAGAACATTCAGCTAACAGGAATAAAAATGTAAACAGATTTGTTTGCTAATGCAACAGCTGATCGCTAATACTGAGGTTAAATAGAGAGTTACAGATTGCAATCAGTGAAACTGGAAGTTTATCAAGTGCTATAGATGGAATTTTCTTTATTCTGCCAACGTCAATAAGACAAATATGAACAACACCTGAGAATAAGGTTTCTTGGGTTCTTTCTGAGGTGGCAATGGGGAATATAGAGAGGATTTGCATTTAGGGCCCAACCCAATACCCAGTGAAGTCAATAAACAGAGGATGCTTCTGTTACTGAGCAAACCCGTGCCAGTATCAGGATTTGTGCCATAGCTAAAAAAACCCAAAGCAGTATCATAAATTGTCACTGCTTGTTTCTGTGGAACCAGTTATGCGCAGTTTCTGAGGAGCTACTTGGAAATTAAAGATCAATCTAGAATTAATGCTGTATTTTATAAGAAATATTTCTCCTTGTGACTTTGCCAGAAATTTGATGATCAGCCTCTTTAAACAAGTTAAATATCTCTAGTAAAATAAAGTAGGGATGGCTGACTTTACAGGATGCCTTTCATCCTGGAGGACTTTGAAGTGGTCAACAAACTGATTATTAAACATTTG